ACTAAGTCAGGTTGGTCTTGAGCTGTCTGGCCAGGAAGGAGGTTCTCAACAATTTTGTGCCATTTTGGATTTGCAGTGAGCATCAAGAGGATGTCAGGGCGTCCAGCCCAGCAAATAATTGCCATGGTATAGCTGGTACATAAAGCAACCACTGGAGACAAAGGAGGAAGGCAGAATAACATGCCTGCCAACTTGTGAAAGCTCACATGTGCAGTCATTATTTGTGACTGCATCCACTAAGCCATTGTACACTTCTGCTTGGATTGTTCTTTGGTTAAATTCAATCCAATGCAGGCGTGCTTGCTCCACACAGGCCCAGGTATTGACAATGAACTGCTGGAATAGCCTTCCACAGTGGAAAAGGTGGAATGCCCATGGAAGGTTGTGGAAATGAAGGCAGTAGCAATAATACTCCATTTCTGTGACCTTTATTCCTTGGGACATTCCCTGCATCATCTTCTTGCTCATCTCCCAGCCCATCTTGCTCACCCTGATTTTGCTGTACAGCCTGCCCAACCTTTGGTATAGCCCAATGCCATCCATGTTCACCATTTGGGAATGCCAACACATAATGCAACAGCATATATGCAGGGTTGCCAGTGCTCATAATTGTGAGCTGTCCATCTGTGCAATTATGTAGCACAAAGTCCCTTCACTCATTTGTGAGTGTATTTGTCAGGGCACTGCCTGTTACCACCCCTGGCCACCCATTTTGCCCTAGGAGCAATGAAACAACAAGCCCCTGGAACTTCCTGTGCTGGTAACTGCCTTAGGATGATGGCAGTGGCCATACAAGACATTGTGCAGAGGACACCACAAGACTGCTGTGTCCAGACACTTGGGGTGAGACATAGTGGTGCTAAAGGCCCCTACTGGGAGTAGTGGGATGCAAGATGACACTTGTAGGAGTCTCCACAATTTATTGGAAAGGTTTGGGAGGCCTAGGGGTGTTGCTAGGATGTCTATCTGACACTTGTAGGAGTCCCCAGAATTTACCTGGATTCCTGGGCTTCTGGTGAACACCTACAAGGTATATAAACAGTAGTACAGCAATCCCTCAGATTTGATCTCTGAGGAAACTCCTTAGTCTACAAGCAGTTTCTAAGTCATCTCATCATCTTGAACCCCCTTCTACACACACCTGAACACCCTG